GAATGATATTACCAAATTATATTTTAAGGTCTTTGCTTTGTTTTAGCTTTCTCAAACGATTACAGTAAGAACAACGTTAAACGTATTTTGTGACAATTGGAATATTTAGACACAAAGGTTTGATGTTAATGCAACTATAGATTTTCTACAACGTCTGATTGGTTGCGTACATACTTATTTGATTAAGTTTGTTTTTTTTTCTCAGTCAAGTCCTCCAAGAAAATTTTTGTAACTTCAAATATTTAGGTAATTCTGACCTTGTCGCACATGAGTATTCTTACAGACCTTAAATMTTTAAGTGTGATCTTTAATGACAGGGGGRRATGAAGATTTCATTAAAATGCTCACCTCTTCGTGGTTTTTCAGCCTTATCATTCTCAGGCTCGACCATTTCATTTTCGGTCTGGTCTGCAAAGAAAAATCGAAATAAAGCACATGGGAACCTTCGTCATATGGCTCGCAATCACTATRAAATAGACTAAAATAGTATTGAATAAAAACCGCACAAAAAAAATATTAAGAAAGTCAAGAAATGATCTTCGGTTTAATCAGTGAGCCAGTGTTTATGTACATCCATATATAGAGTCGTGCGGTAGATCCTTCTAGCGGAATGACTATGGAAAGTTCAATGGATTCTTTAACAGACTGTGTACGTCTGTTCTTTCCGAATTCTCCAATTTATACAAATAAAAATAATAATTATTAATAAAATAAATGCCCGTCAAAGTTGAAGTAGATTTAGGGAATTTAKGGTYAWGCAGTAAKTAACTAMCAGGTTCGAATCTTCAAATTCGCCGTTAAAAACTATTYTTAGTCTTTTAAAATATTYAAAGTTCTTCTCTGCATCAAACATTCTTTATGCACATCAGTSATTCTGTTTATGCACATCCATATATGGATTCGTACGTCATACACTTCTAGCGGAATGACTGCGGGAATCTTATGAATACTTCCACAGCGACCCAATTATCCTAACAGACATATAGTAGCTGAAGATAATTTAAAGATTTGAACGCGCAGTGCAGGATACGCAATTGATAATAAAAGTTCTTACCACTCAGGGAATTTTCATCTTCTTCGTTTTCAGCTTTGGCCGCATCGTTTTCTGATTCCTCTGCGAAGAAAAGGAAACACTGAGATTATTCGACCAATTCAGAATGTTACCAATTACACTGACTTGAGAAAACACGGAAGTCTGAGGGCTTAGAAGATCTTAACTGAAGCGTATAGGTAGGCGGGGTCTATCAAAGGTCCGTCGTAAAATATTCAATTCAATATAGATTTTCTTC